CACCCCACACCCACTTGATCTCCTTCTCGATCTGCTGCTGCTCCCTCATCATCTTGCCCAGCTCCTTCTTGCGGTCCTTGAGCTCGTCCTCCACCCTGTCCATCCTCTTCTTGTCCTTGTCGATCTCGCGGTTCTTCAGCCCCAGCTCCTTGTTGAGCTTCTCGATCTCGGCCTCGTTGTGGAAGAGTTTGAAAAGCTGCAGCTGCACCTGGGCCCGAACCACCTCATCCTTGAGGCGCTGGTACCGATCGGCCTGGGGGGAGGCACGGAGGGAGGGGACATTGCCACAGGGCCGGGGCCACCTGGGCTACCTGGGCCACCTGGGACAGGGCCACCTGGGACACCTGGGCCACCTGGGACAGGGCCGGGGCCACCGCGGCTACCTGGGACAGGGCCGGGGCCACCGCGGCCACCTGGGCCACCGGCCCGGGGCCACCTGGGACAGGGCCGGGGCCACCTGGGACAGGGCCCGGGGCCACCTGGGACACCTGGGACAGGGCCGGGGCCACCTGGGCTACCTGGGCCACCTGGGACAGGGCCAGGGCCACCGCGGCCACCGGGGTCACCTGGGCCAGCGGGGCCACCTGGGACACGGCCCGGGGCCACCTGGGATACCTGGACACGGCCCGGGGCCACTGGGGCACAGCCTGGGGCTGGACACGACATTCCTAAACCTGGGCCTGGTTCTATCCAGGAGGTTCCTAAACCTGGGCCTGGTTCTATCCAGGAGCTTCCTAAACCTGGGCCTGGTTCAATCCAGGAGGTTCCTAAACCCAGAACTTGGGCCTGGTTCTATCCAGGAGCTTCCTAAACCCAGAACTTGGGCCTGGTTCTATCCAGGACCTTCTCAAACCTAGGGCCCAGCCTGGTTCTATCCAGGACCTTCCTAAACCCAGAGCTCAGCCTGGGGCTGGCCACGACCTTCCCAAACCCAGAGCTTGGGCCTGGTTCTATCCAGGAGCTTCCTAAACCCAGAACCTGAGCCTGGTTCTATCCAGGAGCTTCCTAAACCCAGAACTTGGACCTGGTTCTATCCAGGACCTTCCTAAACCCAGAGCTTGGGCCTGGTTCTATCCAGGACATTCCTAAACCCAGGGTTTGGGCCTGGCTCTATCCAGGAGGTTCCTAAACCCAGGGCTCAGCCTGGGACTGGCCAGGACATTGCTAAACCTGAGCCTGGTTCTATCCAGGAGGTTCCTAAACCTGGGCCTGGTTCTATCCAGGAGGTTCCTAAACCCAGAACTTGGGCCTGGTTCTATCCAGGAGGTTCCTAAACCCAGGGTTTGGGCCTGGTTCAATCCNCTCAGCCTGGGACTGGCCAGGACATTGCTAAACCTGAGCCTGGTTCTATCCAGGAGGTTCCTAAACCTGGGCCTGGTTCTATCCAGGAGGTTCCTAAACCCAGAACTTGGGCCTGGTTCTATCCAGGAGGTTCCTAAACCCAGGGTTTGGGCCTGGTTCAATCCAGGAGGTTCCTAAACCCAGGGCACAGCCTGGGACTGGCCAGGACATTGCTAAACCTGGGCCTGGTTCTATCCAGGAGGTTCCTAAACCCAGAGCTCAGCCTGGGGCTGGACAGGACCTTCCTAAACCTGGGCCTGGTTCTATCCAGGAGGTTCCTAAACCCAGAACTTGGGCCTGGTTCTATCCAGGACCTTCTCAAACCTAGGGCCCAGCCTGGTTCTATCCACGACCTTCCCAAACCCAGAGCTTGGGCCTGGTTCAATCCAGGACCTTCCTAAACCCAGAACTTGGGCCTGGTTCACTCCAGGAGTTTTCCTGCCCCTGGGTTCTGTCCAGAACCTTCCCCCAGCCCTGGCTGTTTCCAGAACATTCCTCAGCCCTGGCTCTATCCAGGAGAAGTTTTTGTGCCCCCTGAGTGTTTCCAGAACCTTCTCCAACCCTGGCTCTGTCCAGAACTTTCCTTAGCCCTGGCTCTATCCAGGAGGAGTTTTCCTGCTGCCTGGTTGTGTCCAGAACTTTCTCCAGCCCTGGCTCTATCCAGGAGGAGTGTATCATGCCCTGGTTGTTTCCAGAACCTTCTCCAGCCCTGGCTCTGTCCAGTTTTCCAAGCCCTGGTTGTTTCCAGAACTTTCTCCAACCCACTGGGGTCTGCCCAGAACCTTCCCCAGCCCTGGCTCTGTCCAGGAGAAGTTTTTGTGCCCCCTGAGTGGTTCCAGAACCTTCTCCAGCCCAGGCTTTGTCCAGGAGTTTTCCATGCCCTGGGTGTTTCCAGAACCTTCCCCTGCCCTGGTTCTATCCAGGAGTTTTCCAAGCCCCTGAGTGGTTCCAGAACCTTCTCCAGCCCTGGGTGTTTCCAGAACCTTCCCCAACTCTGGCTCTATCCAGGAGGAGTTTCCTGCCCCCCTGGGAGTTTCCAGACCCTTCCCCACCCCCCTGGGAGTTTCCAGACCCTTCCCCACCCCCCTGGGAGTTTCCAGACCCTTCCCCACCCCCCTGGTTGTTTCCAGAACCTTC